CATTGAAAGAGCGGACCAGCATGTAGTCGGAAGCCGTGGTGCCACTCGGGAGATTAGGTGCCCACGATACACCCATACCGTAATATGGATGGAGTAAAGCAAAATTCGCACGAGTCGCAGTAATCATCATGAAGTCCATGCTCTTATTGGTCGTCCGAGGAGTGATGGTGCTTGAAATGTCAGGACGCCCAGTAATGACCACTTCCCAACGTCCTGAAGATGGGCCACCATCAGGAACGAATGTAATTTTTTTGGTTTCCGCACCAAGAGTCGCCGGCCAGCCAGTAATGAGGTCTGCTTTATGGTAGTACGAGGCGGAGAGCTCCAAGCCAATCAGTGTTTGGGCATTGTTAACTTCGCAGGTGTAGGTGTTGAGCAAACCACCGAGTATAACGCTGGGAAAGCAGTTCGTGAGTGTCACCAAGGAATCGTCGTCGGCTGCAGGCGTGGCCATTCTCGTTCGGGGGACCACGCCACCAGCAGCAGCAGCACAGGAAAGAAACGGTTCAGCCACAACCATCAGTACCAGAAACAACACCTGGATGTCTCTCAACTGCAGTCCCATAGATGCCAGCAGTCTAGTCTTCCTTCTGCCTCGGCGCAGGATTGAAACAGGTTCACAGAGTACCACATCTCTGAGACTGCAGCTGCTAATGCTCTTTGGTATCTTGCAACACCGTAGATGTGTCCATTGCGATTTCCCTGTCATGTGCCTCATGCTCATCGATTGCTTGAATAGATAATAGCTCTACTAGCAGCTGCTTGTCTTGGTTCAGAAAAAGATTTTAAAAAGAAGCAAAACGCAGCAAATGGCACGCAGAGCACAGACAATCAGCAGCAGAAGAACTAGTACAGTAGACACTTCCCCATGCTTCTGCAATTGGGGTTTCCACTCGCATGCCAGTGAAGAGACATCACTTGTGCCTCTCCGGATGAGATCACTGTGTTTTCCCAGTACTTTTTCTGCACACTTCTTTGGGACTTCTCACTCTCCCCTGCGCCTCAGCACAGCCACTACACAGCTGCCTCCATACACTTCACACCAACAATCCCCTCAATGTCTGTTGCACCTCTCCAAGGGGCACATCAGGTGGCCAGCATGCCCTGAGCCCGTCTCAGCGTCGCTTGCCTCACCCGTCAGAAGCACATGCCGTGGCAATGACTGCGGGGACCATGCCACCACACTGCC